GGAGGGGGGGGGGGGTGGTTTGTGGTTGTGGCTAACTTTATTCAAGACCAACTTTCTTCTTTCGGGAAAATTTTCTTTATAACACTACACTGTGCTCAAATGTGGGGGGCCAACCTTCCTTTCAGTATACATTTTCTATAGTAAAGGTAATGTCGGGAGAAAAAGTGGGGGGGGGGGGGGGGCAGGCCCCCCTGCCCCCCCTGATACTTCGTGCCTGCTTAAACAAAAATTTTCAATATGGGTGGGTCTTCTCTCCATTTTTTGGAAAGATGATCCTACAAGTGTGCAATAAAATTCACATTTTTTGGTTTTCAAAAACATGGAGAGATGACCCACCATACCTTAAAAGTACACTTTATGACACAACATTAGCATCTTTCCGAGAAATACTTGAAGTCCATTTAGTCGCGGGTCATATCACAAATATGATTTAAATGCATCAAATCACTATGAGCGGTGTAGCATAGTGGTTAACGCGTTAGTGTCAAAACAGTATACATGCTGTTGATACGTCAGATTTTTATTGCTAGGGTTCGAATCCCACGAATACCAACTAATAATTTTATGACAGAATATTTTTTACGAGATTTTTTTCTCTGAAAAATTTTTTTTTTCTCATAATTTCTAAAAATTTGAATAATTATAAGTTAATTTAAATAATCAATTCACATATTTAATATGATTTCTGAATATCTGACGCTATAGGCATTCTGCCCGCCTTGTTCGCCCATCTTCTTTGAAAATGTTAATTAACAGAATGTTTTTTAAAAACCTTAAAGTGTATAGAAGTTCTATTCTAAATATGCAATAATTACAATAAAATGTTTTTTTTTATCAGCTTCTTAAACAAAATGATCTGAAAAAACAATGTTCGAAGCCTCTTCATTACTGATTTACATGTACAACTTGGGTTTAATGATTTAAGTCTGAATTAATGTTGATGAAAGTATTAACTAAACAGTCTCCAAAGCACCCTTCTTTTTCCAAAAAAAAAAATAATAATCGAAGGGAAACTACATAGGTATTCCGTGGAGTATTAAAAATAGGATAATTTTATTATGCAGGTAAATTTAATAACAAAATCGTAATGGCTCTTAAAACGGTTAAATTAAGAGGAATTAGTCAATCCCTCTTTTTTTTCGCCCTTTGAATTAGAACTAGACACTTATCTAAAGAATCTACGTCATGGCCTCTGTCAATATAGATCCTGTGTAATTCTTGAAACATGTGTGAAAAGATCGCTGAGTGTCTAATAGTTTTAGAATTTATGCCAGCAATTTATTAAACCGATTTATCTGGCCCTCTCGTTCTCTAAGGAAAGTTATCTGTCATAGGACATGTTGGAGCAGGACCAAGATTGAGATTCAATCAATAATAAATTAACATAAACAAATTCAATAGGATAATCATGGAATGAGTTGGTGGTAGAGTCCCGGAGCCTTTGTTCTTCAATATAACGCGGTGTGCTTTTTTCAGGATAGTTTATATCTCGTCATTTCAAATCTTGAGGATATAAAGTTAATCAATGCCTTTTACGCAGATACACTTCTTTGTAGGAAAAATAAAGAATTAGTTTGAGGAATGTTGTACCATCTTGTCCTCTTTCCCATAATTTTCGAAGGAAATATAACAAAAATAATGCAATCTAATTCTAAGATCTCATTCCAATTTTTTAAAATTTTAAAAAAATCCGTAAAGCGTTTTCATGGTTAAAAATAGGGTACACTCGTACTCTGTTTTTTTCATTTCAAATTGCGCTGAATTTGTCCAAATTTTATATAGGCAATTTGAAAAAAACTGTTTATTTCCATATCCCAGCCGCCGAATACGAGGACTAATTATTGAATAATGTCCTGAACTTTATGACATACAATACAGATATCATTTGACATTAAGCTTGAATTTTTCACATTACCTGCATTGAATATTTAATGAATTTATATAAAAAAAAATATGTGACCACTTTTCATTACAGACTTTCATCGTGAAAAGCTGGAAAACAAGGACTATTCGAGACACTGTATTAAAAATGAATGGTACAAAATCAGTAAACTAGAGTTAAATTAAAAGCTTCATTAAAGCTGCTGTAAAACTCGTTAAGAATCCCAAAGAAATATTCACTGAAATATGAAAAATTAACGACAAACAATGCATGTTTTATAGAGAAATGAGCGGGTGGATTTCAATGACAAAAATTATATAATGAGCATCAAAAATGGGTACTGCCCCCCAAAAATATAAAAAAAAAATATAACAACTAATGTATTGTTTGCAATACCGGGTATTTCAACCAATACCGGTAATCACTGACGATGTATGATTGACTTAAAGACACATAGCAAAGATAGACATTATTTCGGCAGTAGTTTACACTGTTTTAAAGAAACATTTGACAGTAAAAAAGTCTCAATACTCAAAGATCACCCTACATTTTGAAAAATAAGTGAAAACGACAGCGTGTAAGAATACCCATTATTTTAAAATATTAGTAAATTTAGTCATTGAATCTATTGCTTAGAACCCCGAAACAAAATTTACAATAAGATGTACTTGACAAAATCAGCAAAGGTCTTAGTAGAGCAAAGAATTTCAAGACCACAACGACAGATTTCTATGTAATTTTCTAAAAAAAAAAGTGGTCTTGTTGTTCAAATTCGCATTTGGGGAGCCAGTTTAACTTCTGGAAGAGTCTGGAAAGCAAATTTTTGCAAAAAAGCGAAAGGTTAATGAGGGGAAGAAACTAGAATCAGGGATCCACTACAATAAATTTCTTCATGACAGCGTCAAAACCCGCACACCCTGCTTCTTTCCGAGCACAGAGGACATTATCTATTGAACAGCCCTCGTAATCTAAAAAATAATGTTTGAATGAAGTATTGCGCTCTGTCATATCCGAAAAAGGCATGAACTGTTCATCATTAGATAATTGGTGTTTGTTAACATTCGTGTATGCATAAACTATATTCATTTGGGGCATATAATATTTACAATTTTTCAGCTCTTAGTCATATTATCTTCTAAATGCACAGAAATATCCCTTCTTCTGACTTTGAGACATAATGTGAATTAATGTCACTTCTGTAATAGCTCCTGAAAAACATTTGGAAAACTTTCTCCCAATGAAAGTAAGATAGCTTTGTCTATTACACATCCATGATTATTCTTTAGTTTCTACTAAACAATGTGTACGAAAATGTTTCAATTTATGTAAACTGCCTTGAATGAAATTTTTGTTTGTTCGATGTTAAATTTTCTCTGCAACCTCCTTTAATTTTCTTCGATTTTTGTTTCATAATTATTTCATGCACAGTGTACATATATGTCTTCTCTAATAGAAACTCTAAGAAAAACGAAACTTATATACTGCGGTAGTGCATTGCATATAATTACTTCTTTTGCAAAACAAATCGACTACATTTTCTCCAATATGATTTTCTAATGATTAAAAATTGAAAATGTCGCCCGCATGGCGCAGTGGTGAGGCGTCTCCCTTTGTAACATATGTAGAAGACGATCGCGATCTTAAAATTCTAATAAAAAAATTGGAAGTATACATGTAAGTACCATCATATTCAAAACTCATTTTTACTGATCTTGAGAAAGCAGTTACACAGTCAAAAAGAGATAAACGGCTCACACACACAAAAAAAAAATATTGGAACATTTATTCGCAAAATGTTAAAATGTTTTCAACTGATAGAGAAACGTTTTAACGATTGCGATGGTCTCAGGAAATAGAGTGTGAAATATTTTTGAGAACCTTATGACGCTATTTGTTAAAATCACAGTGTTGTTGTTTGCTCCATGTATACAAAAAATATTGATTTTTAAATGAAATAACATAACTTCTATTACAGCACACCAAGAAAAAAATTGCATATCATCATTATGATGCTCATGTTAACTTTCTTAAAGATGGCATTACAAAGAATTGCTTAGTCTGGAATGTTTCCGAACAACCTTCGTATATTCAAACTTGCTAACAATAATAAGTCACTTAAATTCTTTGAAATATCTTCTAGCACTAGTATTTCTTTTATTCTCTGATTTACATATTAAAATTCTGGAAAGGCTACAAAACTTATTCTCTTGTTAGGTCATACTAGAGACCAACACAGAAAGTTTGTGGTCTGTGAGGGCTCTAACACTAAACCAAAACTTTTGAATTCATTTTCCTCTAATCCCCATTTTCAAAATGAAAATAAAATGTAAACGGGTGAATGATCATCACTTACAGAAAGATGCATTGAATCAAAACCATTTTACAATACTTCAAATGAATGAATTCGACAACAAACATGTATTATCGGTTTTAACGTCTGCATGGAAAGGGAGATGACAGGAACGTGCACTTTAGTTAGGTTGTACAACAAAATAAAATCATGAAAAAAAAAACAAAACACTTTGATTTCTGTAAAAGAAAATCGTCACGTCCCCATGCAGGCAAAGGATAAGCAGTGCCTCATCCACTCGCATCTCCTATAATATCCTAGATGTATAAAGAGAATAGATCTTTAAAATGAGAACTGCAGATAGCTGAACAATACCTTTACCTGTAAAAGAATATAGTAAGACTCTAAGACAGCAACGTCCAAGATGTGTATATAATTTATTGTTGATCTTTTTAAAACATTTTTTACGCAAAAAAAATGTTGAGAAATATTGAAAGAACAATTGACATTATTTATACAGTTGGATAATATTAGAATAAGACAGGTAACAGAGCTCTACATGGTCCATGAAGTACATATACGTATATGAACACAATTCATGCATATTAGAGATTTGTAGACAATCTACCTATAAAACTTTTCCTAGGTATGTACATGTATTTTTATAAAATCAGATGAAAAAAATGATACAAATAATGGTGATACGGATGAATAACAAATGAAAGAAGAATACATTCATTTCAACAATCTATCATGTACATAATATTTTCATTAATTGATAGTTTTGTACATTATTGTAAGTATGTATAATAATTGGATAATACAACACATGTAATAGAGCTCTAAATAGTCCATGAATTAAATTCTAAAACTGATAAGGTTAAATGTTAAACTTAATAAATAAATTGTATCAATAAATATTATAGTATGTATCAAAAAAAAGAGATATTGTTTTATGAGAGCAATGGATTGGGGGAAAGCCAAGTTGGTTTAGAACTATCCGGTTTGTAGAAAAGCTGCATATCATCACTAAAACCTATATCTGGATACTGATCTTCTGTGTCATAGTGAGAATACTGTAGTAGATTCTCCATACTTCGAAATGTTCTGACTTCCGGGTAAGATCTTCTACATTGTACAGGGGTCAGTCTTTTATTATTTACCTTAGTAAACATATACTCTCCTTCTGGTCTTTGTAAAATGAACAGCAAATTAGCATCAGAATAGTTACACTCTTCACAAGCATGTAGTATTGTTCCACCGTCATGATAACCATTGATAGTAAACTTATAGTCACACTGATCACTGAACTCACGTAAAAACTTCATGATCATGTTTTCGTTAAACTCAGAATTAATTATTGCTATTGTAGCAAATACCTTATCGCTAAAATGCACAAAATTTACCTCTTTTAACTTCTTACATAATTCATCAAAAAACTCAACCCCATCAAACATTATGCAAGATATCATTAAAGAGATCACATCTTCAGATGTAAAAGAATCTATAAATTGAAGATATTCCAGAGCAATATCAAACTTCTCTCTACGAATAGAAATTTTAGCTATAAATTTGTAAACTGTGTATTTTTCATCCTCAGATGGCAGTAACTCTGTCAGTTTTTTTAAAGCCTCCCTCCAGTCCGCCCCTGCAGCCTCATCATGATGTGACAGAATTGATTCTATTAGTGTCTTTACATCAGATGTTGATAAAGCAGCTTGACTGTCTCCATCGGTCTCTAAATCATTGTCTCTGGGTAGCAATAAGTCGAGCATACCAAGAAAGCACTTCTTAGAGCCACTTTTAGATGCAGTATACAAAAGATTGTTTTCATGACCTTTTTCTAAAATATGAGCCACAAATGATTTTTGAAAGTCAGAGTTATTAATAAATTGATTGAAAGTATCAATAAGGTCATGATTCAAAATTACATCCAATATTTCAAAGTCAAACGTAAAAAAGCTGGAAAATCTTTTGACTGTTTCACTAGCTAATATATCTCTTTTGTAGCTGCAAGCCCCAGCCACAAAAGAATCTATAAAGGCTCCGAATTCAGGCTCTTCCTCTACTATGTCCAAAAAACAAGACACCAACTGTGCATCGTAAAATGATGGATGCTTGTAAACAACTGTGTAAGCATCAAAAGTATTTGGAGCAAAAATATCTATCAGTTTTCTAGCTAGAGCTTCTGTCATGTCATCGTCCAATAGCACACAGATCTCCCATTTTTCTGGTTTGTAACTGTGTGACCTAACATAAGTAAACACATCATTTTTGCTCACAAGTTCTAAAAAAGAAGATTGAAAACTCTCCCCGAATGACAGTAAAATAGCTTCATAAACAACCATATGCTTAAGTTTGTACCTATCATCATTAATGTGTATAAAAGTATTTCTCATTTCACGTAGGCATCCCAGAATGGTAGCTTTGTTCATCTGGTGTGATACGAAGTTCAGTAAACCAATCTTCTCTGCAATTTCCTTTATCTTTGATTTTAGTTTCATAATTTCCTCTATAGTGAATGTCCTCTCCACTAGAAACTCCAGGAAAAACAAAACTAATATAATGTAGTGCATATACATCTTTTTGCAAAATAGGTCATCTACTTGTTCTTTAAAATGACTGCATGCTGATTTACTACAAAAAAAAAATGACCTTTCTTTCAGATTTTCTCGGTTGCTAAAAAATTCTTCACAGAGCAAGGGAAAGCCACCTACAGTTTGCAGTTTTGCAATGTTATGCAAAGTCTCCTCACAGAGACACAAAGTACTAGGATCAAAAACCTCAAATGACTTATTTTCGTCAAACTCTGACCTGCAAACTGAAATTTTGTAATGGCTACAATATCTGTACAACATTGATTTCTTTTCTTTGAAGGTCATGTCAAAGTCTGAACCTGACAGATCGATATTTGATGTCTTAAAGACGCTAAATAAAATATAATCTTTGAACTCATCTTTCTTTAAACCCCAAATACAATTTCGTAATGAAAAAATAATAAATGTAGGGAATTTATCATCACTTATACGAAGATGCATTGCATCAAAAACCTTTCGCCATTCTTCAAAATCCCTTTCACTAACACTTGACTTTCCTATAATATCATCAACAAAAATAATAAACTTTTTATCCGGTGATATAAATCTAAACCACTGACTACTTTCTGTAAGAATAATAGGAATGCAGTCTAAGTTTTTCCGCTTTAGATGCTGCATCAGCTGAAGTCCAAAGCTCGTCTTTCCACTTCCTGCCTCCCCTGTTATACAAATAAATCGATGCTTTTCCATATTCTTGAGGCAATGTTGCATGGCTCTCTTTGGTTCTACATAGATCTTCTTTTCATGGGTCTTCAGCTGTGACTCTGTGTAAGCTATAAATATTTCCAAGAAATTCAAAATTAAACAAATAATAAATTAAAGTTCACAAGCTTAAAACAAAATCCTTTTAATATACTGAATACAGGGAAATTTTCGCCCCTGTTTAATTTTCGCGTCTTTGGCCACCGTCAGAAGTGGGCGAATTTAAAATGGGGCAAATTCAAAGTAAACAGTGTAATATTTTAAACAGAAAAATCTTTCTGTCACAGTTTTGTTTAAGAAATTATACTGTATTTTTTTAATGCACTCCTTTTTAAATTTGTTCAATCGAGATTTAGGGCGAATAGGGTGAAATTAAATGGGTGAAAATAGCCATGTATACAGTACCTTTACATATTTGATATTTACATTCAGAAGTAGATTTAGCATCAAATAATTACTATCAATTTGCACATCTATAACCTTAAAACACAAGTAATGCAAGTAACAAGGTAAATGTCTCTGAAGAGACTGCAGCTCAACTGGTTTCAAATTTTAATACATGTGATGTAGTACAAAGAAAAGAATCCCCTCACAGAAGAGCATTTACCTATAAATTATTCAATATTGATCTTTTTGCAAGTTACATTATTTCATTATTATGCACACAAGGCTGAACTACTACCCAACCCTCCACCCTTCACACATAAGCAATAAACTATACCTCCCCTGATTCTATTGCGAGGGGATAATATTAGTTACATAGTCTTTTAGTGACAGGGTATGGGATGATACCTGGTTAGTAAATTTCATACCTGGCGAGGCGGAGCAGAGTCAGTTATGAAATTTACTAACCAGGTATCATCCTATACCCTGTCACTAAATGACTATGTAACGAATTTACCCCACCGATGAAACATTTATGTTTTATCTGTTAGTTTATAAATGGTTTTCTCTGCTAAATGCTTCATCGCGCTTATACTGTGCCTATTATGACGTCACATTTGTGTTTGGGAAGTTATACATCGATCGGGTATGAATTTACAACTGACAGGGTATAAGTAATCCACTGCCTTCACATGACAGACTTTAACCAATCGTAAGCCAGGATTTTAAAGAAAAATCAACAGAGGTGGGGTAAAAGTAATCCACTGCCTTCAAGTGACAGACTTCAACCAATTGTAAGCCAGGATTTCACAGAAAAATCAACAGAGGTGGGGTAATTATGCATTTTAATGTCTTCTACATGTGTATCAAGTAATAAAGTAAAACTTATCAGAAATGTGACTAAAACTGGGGGAGATGACATAGGGTTGTTGAATTTGTTACAGACATATGGACAAATGTTTGACTCTTTACTGTTGACAAACTCTTTTGGTTCTAACATTCAATCTATCCTAACCAGAAGTCTCTGTCGAGACTGTAGCTCTACTGGTTTATACTTAAAACAAAGGAAGAGAAAAGTAGCAGTTGGGACTTGAGACTTTAAAAAAGCAATAAATAGAAAAATGATCCTTGCCACTCATCAAAATAAAAACCTATGCACAGAATTATGCATCTTAGTACAGTCTACTTGTGTGCCTAGTTATATGGAAATTGGAACAAAATTGTAGGAGTAGCATTTCAAAAGAATTTCTAAGAAAATTATATTCTTAGTAACCATGGTAACACCGTTCATTGAAATCAAAAACCGATGCACAGAATTATGTATCTTTGTACAGTCTACTTGTGTGCCAAGTTATATTGAAATAGAACCAAAACTGTAGGAGTAGCATTTTGAAAGAATTTCTAAGAAAATTATATTTTTAGTAACCATGGCAACACCGTTCATCGAAATCAAAAAACGATGCACAGAATTATGTATCTTAGTGTAGTCTACTTGTGTGCCAAGTTATATTGAAATAGGACCCAAACTGTAAGAGGAGAAGCATTTTGAAAGAATTTCTAAGAAAATTATATTTTTTGTAACCATGGCAACATCATTCATCGAAATCTAAAACCGATGCACAGAATTATGTATCTTAGTGTAGTCTACTTGTGTACCAAGTTTTACTGTAATCAGACCAAAACTGTAGGAGAAGGATATGGAAATAACGAACAGTATTCAATCTCAACGTTCATTAAACAAATATACAAAATAAGAGCAGAGCAAACACAGACCTCCGAAACATCAGAGGTGGGATCAGGTGCAATGGAGGAGTGAGCATCCCCTGCTGACCGATCACACCCGCCGTGTGCTCATTGTCATAATCAGGATATAACGGAAAAAATCCGTGGTCAATTCAGTGTATAAATAATGGACTAACAATTGGTATGAAAAACATCAGTCAGCATTTCATTCAATGATAAATTGTATTTGCTGACAAGGTCATTGTATTGACCATAGAATTTACGAAATGATGACTTTAAACGACACTGTTGATATTCTTGTTTCATCAACTTGCTTGTCAATAATTTACCTCGTTTAAGAAATTGTTCATACGTAGAGCATGCTCTAGCATATCGAATCAACTGAGATATAAATACTCCGTATGCAGGTGATGAAGGTATATTGCTGCATAAGTAAGGGAAGTTGACGATAGAAAAGTTAAAGTCATCACGTTTTTCATATAGCTTTGTTGTTAGATTACCATTAGTGTCTTTTTCAAGTAAAATATCCAAGTATGAAGCAGAAGTGTCGGACTCGGTGGTATCTTTTATCTCAAGCTCACCAGGATATATCGTGTCGACGTAGGAATGGAAATTATCATTATTAATTGACAATACGTCGTCGATATATCTAAATGTCAAGTTGTGGCCACAGCAAGTGTTTTCTTCTTTTCACGTAAAAGATTTTGCATAAATTCTGCTTCATATGAATATAAAAATAAGTCTGCTAATAACGGAGCGCAATTTATACCCATGGGAATTCCAATAGATTGTTGGAATACCTGGTCTCCAAAAACCACATAGATATTGTCAATCAGAAACTCAAGCATCTTCTTGATTTCAACTTCAGTCTTCGAAATAACCTGGGTGCCCCATGCCCGGGACCTGGTAAATTTGCCAGCGGGCATTTTAAAATTCTCAAATTACATGCCCGAAGGGCGTGTGTAGATTTTTCTTTTGACTCGCAATGTTTATTTGCCATTTCTTCTGCCATACCCCAGTTATTCGTGTAAACTTGCTATATATAAATTCTGTTCAGCTAAACCGGCCAACAAACCACCAGCATGTGAACAAAATCGCAAAAGAAAAATGGCAAACAGGCATGTCATGGTTGATTCAAAACTCTGAAAACAATTTAATCTTAAGATCGGAGAATTTAAAAACAGAAACACTGTCCTTAGTTATAGCTAATAAAAAACCTTATGTTTTTGATGCACAATCATATCTGCTATATGATTGAATTTTGAGTAGGGCATGTACAAATTTCAATGGGCTGAATTAAAATTATCGGTATACATGCCCGAAGGACATGTGCTGAATATGAATTGTTGTGAAGACTGCAACTTCAGAGTACTTATGTGTGCAATCAGAATCTGTTTTAACAAAATAATTTTTCAAATGACCAATGACGAGGTAAGTAAACTTACGAGTTCCATTTTTGTTGAAGAAGCAGCTATCAATGATATCAAAAAGCCTGGATTTTAATTTGTCGTGGGGAATTGTTGTGTATAAAGTTGAAAAGTCGTAAGTTTTTAGGAGTAGCATTTTGAAAAATTGTTTACAGACACAGACGGACGACGGATGCATTACTATCACATAAGCTCTTCTGGTCTCTGACTAGTAGAGCTAAAAATCAAGTTCAGAATTAACTTACAAAGCAAGTTTTCCAGCTCAGTGTTATTCTGAAAGGAGAAAAAAAAAGGTATAAAAAGTATTATTCTAAGGTTTATACACCTGTAAATACTGTATATGATCTTATTTGTTTTGGTAAAATATTTTATCTTGCAGAATGTGGAATTACTCCAAAACTGACTCTTTCTCTGCAATATTTCTCTCTTCATTTGGAGAAGAAATCACAAGAGAAAGTGAAAAAATGTAGAGAGAGAGAGAGAGAGAACCTGAGAAACTTGTGTTGCTATGGCTGCTACATCACTGAAAACTTGTGTCATTCTCTGGCAAAGGTCAGAAATCTGTTGTCTATCATCTGGGCTGCCAAACTCCTCCTGGAAAAGGACATTAAATAATGTATACGATAAGCAAATTTTCTTTTCATTATCATGATTATATATACCATGTGCACTATTATAATCAATATTGTGTACATTGTATTTTATTTTAAATATCAATATAAGCATAAAGTTGTCAAAAAATACATGAGTTAAGATCATTTAAATAGTATGATTCTCAGTTATCCTTGGACTTTCAGTAAGGCATGGTATTCTGGGCATTACATGATAATGATAACAGGTAATGTCTGAAATTTATACAGCCTTTCACTCACATCTCATGATCTGTTAACAAGTGTATCAATGGTCCAATGAGAGCGTTTCATATGGCAGAGAAATAAGTGAAACTAATTTATAAGTTGTCTCCTCTTTGTCAACATTGTCAACATTAATTTAAATTTGTTGATGTTTTTAATTTCTTTCATTTTGATAGATTTTATTACGGAGTGTCGAGAAAGTCATCGCCTTCTAAAAGTCCAAGGTTAACTGAGAATCATACTATCTATCAACTAGGTCAAAAGATTTAATCCTAAATATTGTAAAACTAAGTTACTCCAAAGTTCATTTCTGTCTAAGATATAACAATTTACAGATACATGTACATATGCATTGCCACTGGTTTTCATGATTTTTCCTTGATACATGTACAATTAACAAATGGCATGTAATGATGTATACACCTGTAGCTCTTTCCATGCATTTATCGATGAAATGGTGTCTTCCTTGGAGAGTGGTCTTGTTTTCAGTCTGTCCACTTCATCCTTGATCTCTGAGTAGAAATACGGCTCACATTTCTCCGCTACTTCTTTTATTGCATTAGATAGCTGCATCCAAATCCTCTCAAATGCCTCATCGTCAACTTCAGCATTCCCTCTGTGTAACAACTCTTTATCATTTCTTAATTTTCGAATGTTTTCAATAACTTGTTTCTGTCCTGAATCCTTTATGAGAAAATTTTTCAGCAAACAGCTTATGAGGGTTATGTCTAATTTATTTACATTCAAATCTGTATGAGGTAAAAGCTTGCAGCAACATCGGCCTCTATTTCTCGCCATGCAGCACTGATCTACATTTTTGTACAGCTGTCCTAAAACATCTTTGGGTAATGGTGGTTTTCCTTTATTGTCTGTGAATTCTGGGCATTGGCAACATTTTTTTAAATCTGTCAGATGAAAAATTTCATGCTTTCTTTCCTCTAGAAAATCACACAATTTCTGCCACTTCTGATATTTCAGTTCATATTCAATCCTGTGTTGTAAAACTTTGGCACCATATTTCATCAAAAGCCAGATGAGCTTAAGAAAGTTTGACTCCTTCAAGTCTGCCATATTGTCAACTAGTCAATTCCTCCTGAAAGAGAATGATGCATAATTATAAATTCCTTGCCTTGAAGTTTTCAGTGACTTAATTGACATTTAGTCCATATATTTTTCTTTTAATAAATATACCCATACCTAATTAGGTAATTTTTATTAAAAGAAAAAATAGGTATAGGTTAAGTGCCTGGGGTTCTATCGTTTAAATGATATGTATAAAATACATTGTTACGGTCTTGAAATATATGCAATATTTGGGCGAGGGTAAGAAAACGTGATAGATGGCGAGGCTTGCCGAGCCCTCATACGTTTTCGACCCGAGCCCAAATATAGCTTATATTTCAAGACAGTTATCATGTATTTTGTTTATCCTGCAACATATTTCTTACATTTAAGCATCCAAAACAAAATAATTCCAACAGTTTAGGCACATCTCTGCAGTTGAAAACTATGACGCCATGGCATAAACATTGCAGTTTACATGACGTCACAATGTTTTGGATCGTCGGAATACATGCGCAAGACTTTATTAGGGCAGTGACCGGATAAAGCTTTGGTTTAAGTCAATGCAAAGGGCAATTGCAGGATAAATATCCTATGTTGAGGGCGTGTCCCAAGACAGATCATTCTCATAGGCCCTTGGTTACAGGATGGTGTATTTTGTGTATTATATGTTTTTCTACGTGTGCCTGAATATCTTCATAAAAATAAAAATCAAAGTTTGCCGAAATTAGCACGTTTTAAAAAATGTCATATTTACTGTATACCATCGTCGGAAACCCATGCATGGCTGATTACGCTTCGTTCCTCTCTGATGGAGAGAAGAACGAAGCGTAATCAGCCGTGGGTTTCCGACGATGACTGTATACATGTATACTCTTTTCATATACAGTAAATATGACATTTTTAAAACGTGCTAATTTCAGCAATTTTTTTTTTTTTAATGAGGATATTCAGGCACACATAGAAAAACATATAATACACAAAATACACCATGATCATGTACCCAAGCGCCTATATGATCATTCTAACTTATAAGTCTTTTTTTACTAATCTACACATACATGTAAACCATTGTGAACAGGTGAACAGCTTCTTCACAATGTCAAAGCTTTGTGATTTCAGAACTTCAAAAATCTCAAAACCGATGACGTTGTGAGGATGTGTGAACAATGAAATAGCCAAATGTGTTTCTTCTGTTCTTACACACTGAAACGAAAGTAAAACGGGAAAAAACGTGGCTTACAAGTTAAAGTTTACAGCAATTCATGTCCCTTCTGATTCTTTGCTGAATATTTGGGTGTAGTTCCAATGTAGTCAACCTACTTTGATAATGTAGATTCTGCTTTACCGACCTCTCTCATAACGGTCCACCATACAATAAATTCTTTTCATTCATGTCGCCTCTCGATTGCGTATTTCGGTCTATTCGCATCAAATGATCTGCATTACACAACTCCATAAACTTAAAAGTGAAATTAAAAGAATATATACCTAAATCAAAAAGTTTTAACTCGTAAAAAGTCAAGGGAATATATAAATTGATAAATGAAATTAAAAAAAGGTTCCTTTTGATTAAGTAAAATGGGGAAGAAATATTAAATTGAGGACTTAAACTTCCTAGAGACGAAAACAAAATCTGCCGCTGATTTCAAAAACGAAAGTAGGATGCCCTCGGAGCTTCTCGGATTGCTAGTAATTAGGCGTAGAGAAGAAAGCCGAAGGTTGCTGATTGAGTAGAATGTGTTGACAGAAGTTGACCAGAAAAGGAGCCTAGAGTAATTTTTTTTTCATACATATCTATTGTACGATAAAATATTGTCATAATGTCACATGCATGTGATCGGTAGGAACACAAGATTTAAATATATTCCATTCACAGGTTATAATGATGATTAGTTTATCTATTAACATTTTAAAGATATGACAAACAAATACAGTAGGGGTCTATTTTGATTTTTTATTTTTACAGTCTATGTAGCTAAGTTTTAAAATTTTCATCCTACTCTGTTAAAGCTTCCACTGAGCAGAGCTCTGCTGACAGTGGTCAAGGTGTATCAAGCCAAGAAATAATTCTGGGCACTCAGGTAACAAGGTTTTTTTCTTGGGGAAAAAAGGTAATCCAAGTTAATGTTAATAAAATTGTCATCATTCTGACATTTACTTTAGGATGCCTCAACTATGAACCATAATTTAGTGACTCCATCATTTGTCTTCATAGTAACATTTAATTCATTATTTTGTAAGCTTCATGATTGACACCAGCTTTAGTTAGAGAGAGTGAATTTACAAGTATGTTAGAGACAGCTCACATGACAAAGAAGGCAAAGAATCTTCTCCGACAGTCCTACATAAAATTACTCTGTTCCTCTCCTACAAAATCCCACAATGCATTCCTTAATTTGGCCTCACAGCGATGTCAACATACGAAGGTTTCGGTGAAGGAGGCGCGGGGTGTGATGAGGGCGTGGCAGATTCGGAGGTACGGGGGTAACGATGAACTGACGTGGTCCGAGTCAGTCAGGGTCCCTCGCATCATTCACCCGGATGACGTTCTTGTCAACGTAAACGCTGCTAGTCTAAACATGCTGGACATCAGAATGAGAGGTAATAGGTGCGAATTAATCTGCAATTAAAATCCAAATAAAAAGAATGACCTAGCTATTTCAGTTAGAATTAAGTTTCCTGAGACTACACACCCTGAATTTGATAAAAGCTTACTTTGTATACTCAAAAGAAAAAAAATATAAGGAGGATGTCGATATATGCTATTTTGATTATCTACTTTATTCAGAGGAATATTAGGCACACATTGCTAATTTATATTCATTATCTTCATTTGTATTGTCAGGAGGATATGGACACGCGATGTTGAATGCTGTAAGGAATAAAGATCGTCTTCATGCCCCTCAGTCAGAATTTCCTCTGATTCTTGGGAGAGATTTCTCAGGGACGGTTCTAAAAACAGGAATGAGAGTCAAGAAGTTTAAAGTAGGGGACAAGGTCAGCTATGTTCTGTGGAGAGAAACTTTTGTTGATTGATTGATGTTTAATGTCCCTCTCGTTAATTTTTCATTCATATAAACCTCAATCACTTTTTGCCGCTGGAGAGCTGCAAATATTGTCCTATATTCAGCACTCAGGGGAGGGAGAGATCTTATTTGTGCTAGCACCTACTATGACACAGAACCTCGGTTTATACTCAGTCTCATCTGAGGGATGGGTCTCCATATCCCACTGTGACAGTGGAATTTCAAACCTGCGACTTAAGGATCATCTCCTTGCATCGCGACTCTAGAGCAGATGCTCTATCCTGACAATACCCAGTGATTGCATTAAATTTTGAAAACATCAATTAACCAGTATAGAGATCGACACATACACATATTTATGATAGTCATGCAGTACGTCAATAACCTACAAACAAAGCTTAATTTTTGTGTTAGATATAGTGAGGGAATAGTGCCAAGCCTGTTGAATTTTAAATGACCTAGAGGTCTGTTTCTATTTTTAGATATGGGGCACAGTTTCCCCTTTTAGACAGGGATCACATGCAGAGTTGATGGTGACATCAGAATCTCATGTAAGTATGATCTGATTAAGCAAGATGATCTATAAATTTTAAAATCAACAACAATGACACATGACCTTATGACCCAACAGAGCTCTAGAAAAATTGAGAAAAAGGACCCCATGACCCTAGACAAGTCAACAATGCATGACCTCATAGGTCAAGAAATTAACTACACATGACCACATGATGCTACAGAGCTCTTATAAAATTGCTTATGATTTAAATATGTGACACTTTCAAGGAATATAGGTCAATATATTCATTGTTAAAGATTCACCTGTGGAAAATTAAAGTATTCACTTTCTTTTATACTGCATAGTTACATTTTTAATAACAAAATTATTGAATAGATTAGCTTACAAATGAAATAAAGAATTAATTAAGTGATGACTTGTAAAGCAATGACCTGTGTTTGTTATTCACTGAATATACATGTATTACATGTTCATGTATTGTAGATATCTCTGCGACCACAGAACCTGAGTGATATAGAGGCTGCCTCACTTCCATACGTGGTTTCCACGGTGATGACAGCCCTCTGTGATGTAGGAGAACTAAAAGATAATAACACAGCCAATAAGAGGTAAAAGGTCATTATAGCTCAAGGTCATTGCAATTTTGACAATTTCCCATAAAAAGCTTAGTTTTTCAAGCTTTTTACGGAAAATTGTTAAAATTTAAATTTACAAGTTAGGCTAACTGTCCGTTCATTAGATATAAATTTCTACACATGTATCACATAGCTGCTAGATTTACTATTAGGTTCTTGAACGCAGACCAGGTGTTTGCACATGTTTCAAATTATTTTTGTTTTATTTGTAGAGTGTTGATCTATGGTGGTTCAGGAGGAATAGGGACTTTTGCAATTCAGGTTGGTTTTTTTGCTCAAAAAAGTGCAAGTAAAAAAGAAAGAAAAAAAGAGAAAAGAAAAAATTCAGAATGTTATAACATAAACATCATATTAGATATACATGTATGTGAAAAGTACTGAGCATGTTAAAATTATTTTGTTTGACAATGTGATATTTGTGGATCTAATATGCTGCCTTAGAATTTTCATTGAACTGATTTACTTCAAAAGTAATTTAAAAAGTGTGTTTTTCTTAGCCCACAAATTGCTACAAAAACTTTAAATGTAGTATTTGATAAGATTTGGTGCTTTCTTTGAAAATGTTTAGAAATGAAATATGAAAAAAATAATAAAACCTGGATCTTGATGATTTACTGGGGTACATGTAGAAAAAAGAAATGTTTAAGATTGCAATTATGCAGAAAAGTTTTTGAATGTTTCCCAAATGTTAATGACTTCTTTGTTTCCCTCGTACAGCTGATGAAGGCTTGGGGAGCTATCGTCACGACAACATGTTCCACTGATGCTGTTCCCTTGGTTACCTCCCTGGGAGCTGATCATGTGATCGATTACAAAACACAGAATGTTCAGCAGGAACTGATGAGCATGAAAGGGTAGGACTGTCTGCTGCTTCTCAATTCAGTTTAGTTGTAGCTGAACTCTAATTCGAAGTTTTATTTCTTCTTTTTAATGCTGCTGTTGCAGCCTCAATTTAACATGATTTTATATTCCACATCATTTATATCTTGTACAGGATTTGTTTTTGTATCATAATGAAAAAAACAGAAATAACATATAGCCTTTTTGATACAAATATTTGCACAGAAACCATTTTGGAAATTTTCTTTAGGTGTTCATTGGCACTAAAAGATAATTTTAGCAGGTAATATTATCAATGTTGAATTGATACCTCAAGACGATATGTTAGGCCACTGTCTAAGCTTTATTTTACAGGTATGATGTCATCTTAGACATCCATGGAGGGGTAGACTTTTCCTTTGACCTACTGAAGAAGTGGAACAATTCTAAGTTTGTTACGATAAAGACTCCGTTTCTACAGAATACTGATGAGTATGGAATCCTGCCAGGACTTCTGAGGTCCGGTGCTAACCTGACAGCCAACGTGTTACAGGTGAATGAAAGTCATTGTTTGTCATTTAAACAATAAAATGCTTTCTTTGTTTGTCATTACTGGAATTAACATGAGCAGCTGTTGCAGAAAAAAATACATAATCCGCGTAAGTGGGTTTACGCGAGTTATGTAAATTTGTTCTACAATAACTGCGACCGTTAATTCCAGTAATAACAAACAAAGAAAGACATTTTATTGTTTATATTTACATGTATATCTGTTTAAATAATCATTTAAAGTAGGATTAAAAGGATTAGTAATTTTATTAATGATAAGAACATCTTTATAAGTTTCATTGATGGAATAGCCGCTGATCAAGAAATCAGTACAGGCAATATGCCGACTGTAGTTGATGCAGTGATTAAGGCAATGGGTTTCGTTAGAAATAAAGGAGAAAATGTTCAGTGGATGTAAATATATTATTATAAAGAAGAGCTTGCTATGAAAAGTTATGTCTTTCATATTAGAATTTCTTGTACAGAATATATTCATTTGTTATTACTTGAAGATCATAAATGCTTGATTTGACATTGAATCTTATTTTTTTTTTATGTACAAGTATCTGAAATGGTAATTTAATTCTGAATTGTGCTTTACCATTTCAATGATTTTATATAATTGAAAGATTTTCTTTTGATATATTAAGTTTCTCTATGTTCAACTTTGACAGAGATCTGTGTACTGTAGATCCCAAAATATTTCGCGACACCTTATTTTAGCGAGATAGTCATTGACTCTATATAAGCGAGGCATAATTTTCACGAATTGTTAATATTTCTCTATATAATCTTAAGGTCCTGGAATACTTTTATATGCGAGAATGAAATTTTCGCGTGCTCACTGTCTCGCGTAATTACGCCAAAATAAAGTTTTCGTGAATAAAAAGTGATTTACAGTATTTCAATTCAAAATAAAAGATCTGAATTTTATTTTTAGCTTGTAAAGAAGTCATGTTTAATTTTCAAATTCTTTTGAAAATGATTTCAACAGGGATTTAAAGAGGGCAGAAGTTACAGATGGGCCATGTTCAAACCCAGCAGAAAACATCTAGAGACTGTTAAACACCTGGTGGAGAGAGAAGAGGTATGACAGGGGGCTCTTAAGTACTCAGTAAAGTCAGGACTGTTAGAGTCTCACTAAATACAGACTGTTAGACAAACAGATTATAGAGAGAGGGGGTATGAAAGGGGCACTTAAGTACTCAGTTTAAGTCAGGACTGTTAGAGTCACACTAAATACAGACTGTTTGACACACAATTGTAGAGAGGGGGGGGTATGAGCTGAGTGGACACCTGGTGGAGAAAGAAGGGGTATGACAGGGGGAACTTAAGTATTCACTAAAGTCAAGACTATTAGAGTCACACTAAATACAGACTGTCAGACAAACAGGTTGTAGATTTGAAGGGGGGGGGGGGGGCTATGACGAAAAACTCAGTGGGGTAGGGTTACAGAAAGCACTTATTGTCAAGAAGTTAATGAAATAATGCCATTGTGCAAATTTATCAAAAAAATGTATCAATTCAAATGCTTTCGTTAAAGTGACTGTTTTAATTACAGATTAAACCAGTTATAGACAAAGTGTTTCCATTTGAGGAGGCGGACAAAGCTTATGAGAAACTGGAGGAGGGACACGCCCGAGGAAAAATTGTCATCGACATGTCTCAGTGATTCTTATGTTAAAAAAAATCACATTTTGAGGAAACTGACATTATTAAGAATGTTTCAGTGATTTTTAATGTTAAATATGATTAAAAAAGACACATTGGTATTTAGAGGAAATTAACATCAACATATTTCAGTGATTCTGTAACAACATTGTATATATAGACATAAGGAAGAAAATTGCTAGCAACAGTTGTCTGACATAAACATTGTTGTCTTTCTTTTAAATGGCAATGTGACAGAATAATGATTGCTTCCATGTGTTCTGTCCAACTTCCCTGTTATTGTTGTAGTTACAATTTAGTACACTTGTACTAAACAGGGGTAATTAATTTATTTTCTAACTTCTTGTAACTTGTATTTTCTTTTTTTTTTTAGAAATGTGTTTATTATGTACATGTATTTTATGTACATGTATAATAAATGATTTTAAAGCAAATGATTTAGGATTGCAATTTGCATTTTTAGCTCATCTAAGCCTAAGGCTAACAGAAACACAGTAGGAAGCTTCAGGAGGTTGTATAGATACTAAATTGTGCTAATCAAGGCCCACAGGGGTAGAATGGGACCTCATTTTACATTTACATCATTTTTTTTTTAAATATTGAAAATATTACATTGCCAGAAAAGTGAACTTTTGTGGAAGCTTTCTTAGGTAGTGCTTTTGTTTTCCCCGTATGACTCCTGCCATATCAACATGATATATATAACTAACCATGGTTTTGCTGTTCTTAAGAAGATTTGAAATTTTTTCCTTATAGATATTAATAAATTCCTGTATGTGAAACTTCGATATCCTGTTGTTGACCACTTGTTCTCCAGAGGTCATGATTACAACAATCTTGAATATTCATTATATACCTGGGATTCTTTCATGCTCTATGTATGAACATTTTCTTTACCGAGGTAAATTATTGACAAGCAAGTTGATGAAAAAAATATCAAGTCTCTTTAAAGTAATCTTTTGTAAGTTCCATGGTTATCACAATGAAAAAAAAATCAGCAAATACAATTTATCTATATCAACATGATAAATATGACTTTTTCATACCAATTGTTAGTCTGTTATTTATACACTGAATTGAAATATTTTCCTTGTTATTTTTATCATGACAACGAGCACACGGTGGGACCGGTCGGCAGTGGATACTCACTCCTCCTGTTGTTGACCACGTTTCCTCCAGAGTGTTTGCTCTGTTCTTATTTTGTTTAAAACAATGGACTTTGAATATAATACTAATATACCTATATCCTTCTTTCATATAAGAGGACCATGTTATGGAAATTATAGATAACGCTCTAAAATCCAGTGAACTTTTAATTTACACAATAGGAGCAGAGCAAACATTGACCTCCAGACATCCAAAATATCAGAGGTGCGATCAGGTGCCATAAACAACATTAATTTTCTATTCAAAATTAACAAAAATATGAACTAAGAATATATAATATATTTTTCAGTTTATTATTTATTTTGGCATTTTTTACAGCTTGTGTCCACCAAAATTTGACCATTTCATGTGAGCATCACTTCCATAATTGTGAATCCTTATCCAGACTTTATCACCCTTTCTCATCTCTATCCTAGCTGAAGAACTGCAACCTTTTTCAAAATTAGAGCTCTTTTCTTGACAAAGGTTGTAACCAAATATGGCGCCATTTTTGACTATTTCCGTGTTGAACTTGTCGCCATTATCAACCGTGATCGTCCAGTCAAAAAAATATACACCACCTGTCGGTGCCGCGAATTTTCCAGTCCTTCCATCGTACCCGTTACCTAGGAATCAAACAGAATAATAATTCATTTTGTTCATATAACAATCCTCTTTTATATCATGTATATCCTGAATAAATATTTGCAATCATAATAGTTGCACTCTGGATTATGAAATTTAGCCTTCATACCTTATAGTATATTAAAATGTTTGTAATTTATGGAAGAATTTCATTTATAAAAAAAAATTGTATAAAACATGTAAAAATTTCAATTTTGTTTTTTTTTTTACCTTTGTTTGTTATCATTTCTCCAAATATGACGACCCTGATGCCTCTGGATATTAACAAGTCGCTTATTTGCTCTAGCCTGAAACGCAATGACTCTAGAACCTGTTGAAAAAGTAATGATTTTCAATAGAAAAGGAACTTTGTACTGATACATTTTCAAACTTATGCTTCATCCGTTGATACGTATAGACTCTGAACATATTGATTTTTAGCTCAAACTTATACCCCCGGCGTTGGCAGGTTAAAGTTTTAGGAGCAAGTTTCCCAAGAACTATAAGTACCTAAACCAAACTTGCATGGATGATGCATCTAGAACACAGACTTGATTTTGACCTACATTTTCTTGAACCAGGTTAAAGTTTTTGGAGCAGGTTAAAGTTTTTGGAGCAGGTCCATTCCCAAATATTACCGGGACCAAATTTGCATGGATGATGCATCTAGGAATGTACACTACCAGACTTGCTTCGGATGCTGGATCTGACCTATATTTTCTAGATGAGTGACCAGGTTAAAGTTTTTGGATCAGGTCTATTCCCAAGGAACTATATGCCCTACCGGGATCAAACTTGCATGAATGATGCATCTAGGAAAGGACACTACCAGACTTGCTTCAGATGCTGGATCAGACCTACATTTTCCAGTTGAGCGACCAGGTTTAAGTTTTTGGAGCAGGTCTATTCCCAAGTAACTATAAGCCCTAGCTAAACAAAACTTGCATGGATGATGTATCTAGGGATGTACACTACTAGACTAGCTTCGAATGCTGGATCTGACCTACATTTTCATTCCCAAGGACTTATAAGCCCCTAAATAATGATGTATCTAGGACACTTCCAGACTTGCTTCGGAAATTTTCATTTCCAAGTATCTATAAGCCCTTTTTGGACCAAACATGCATGGATGATGTATCTAGGGATGGACACTTCCAGACTTGCTTCGGATACTGGATCTGACCTACATTTTCATTCCCAAGTAACTATAAGCCCTAGCTAAATCGAACTTGCATGGATGATGTATCTTGGGATGGACACTACCAAACTTGCTGCGGATGCTGAATCTGACCTACATTTTCATTCCCAAGTAACTATAAGCCCTAGCTTAACCAAACTTGCATGGATAATGTATCTAAGGATAGACACTATCAGACTTGCTTCGGATGCTGGATCTGACCTATATTTTCCATACAAGAGACCAGGTTTAAGTTTTGGGAACAGATCAATCCAAAAGAACTTGAAGTCCTTGATATCTGCAGTATTAACAGTTATGAATATCAGTTTACACTATACATGTTTTTAACGCTACACGCATAGAAATGTGTATATGCCATGTAAGGGGTTAAACACAACTTGCAAGAATATTGTTATTGGGATCCCTGTAAGATTTGCATTACTTTAACTGATAACATTCTTCGAGGTGAGCTTCGTAATCTTTGATTACCTATGTTTAATCTTAAAAAGATCTTCAAATTTAAAAAAAACAATATACACTTGTAAATATGTTTTGAATTAAATTTTGGTTAAAATAATTATAGCTTATTAATATGATTCAAAGACAGAAGAGCAGAACAAATTACAAATAATTCAGAAGAAAATTTTTCGAACCAGATGTGGGAGATTCCAATCCAGAACACTGAGCAAGCAGTTTTCAGATAAAAATACGTCCAATCTTTAGAAGCGCTTCACTCCCTGCATAACATGACATCCAACAAATAAGGGACACAAAAAACTTCATGTCTTTAGTTCAGTCCAGGAGCTTAAGAAGTCTGATAAAGTAAAAAAAAATATCCCGAATAATAAATTTCATACACTTGCATTATGTGATTTTTTTAATATTTAATTATTTCGATGGGATTATCTGATCTGTTCAATATATGGTAACCCCCCCCTCTCCCGCCAAAAAAAAAAAAAAAACTTAATTCTGAATTTCAACGATGTTGTTCTGAAAAGAAAGCAGCGTGGTCCTTTAAAAAACACAAAAAGTTTTTAAAACAACGTTTTACATGTTTTATATTATCATTGCAACTACTGAATTTTAATTCTGGGGTATTAAAGATGTTGTGTTGAAAAGAATATGAAATACAATGCAAAAGTATAAGCATACATGTACATTGTTTTGCTGCAAAAAGCCTTGATTTATGAATCAACACTCTATTTAAATACCAATTATTCAATATATCATACCACACAAACTGTGATCTTTAATATATTCATGATATACCTCATCAAAATGAAATCCAATCTCAGTTTTTAAATCAGATATACATGAATCGGAATGTGCTTACATGTACATACAATGTACAGAATTTTGTTAGTATATGCATGCACATGTAAAATCCTAATCCTAATACATGTATGAACTAAAAAAAAATCTTACTCAAGTTTCATACATAACCTCTTTTTAAGGTATTAAACCAAAGGTCCCTACATTCTTTCTCACATCTGCCAAAAACAATATATCTACCCTGAAATGACGAATACCAGTATATATTCCCTAAATATAATAGAATTCTTAAAAGAACACATTCAGTGGTCAATACTGTGGATTGTTAGATATAGCTCGAAACAAACACAGGTACTTAATTGTGGACAGGAACCCCCTCCCACCCCCCTTGATATTCAACCCCGGGGCTTATTTGAAATTTTTGTCACAAATTATATTGATGACACTTATTCAACATATGTACAATATGAAAAAATATATTATGGACTCTTTTGGTGTTGAATATGGCTTGTTATTCACCAGAAAAATATTCATCAAAACCCCAATACAATCGCTCCACAAAAAACACTATACATTATACATGTTATAAGGGAGACCTTTCTCCCTTATAATGTATAGTGGGTTATTGTTTGCGGAGCGATTGTTTTGGGGTATTTATAACCATCCCTAGATATAGAAAGGGATATATCATAAAAGTTTATTCTTTCCAAAGAAATATAGCTGCTACTAATTAATTCTCTAAACCATTTGAAAGAATTTTCATTTCATAAATTAGGACAACATTAATCAATCTTATTAATGCTTCCAAGCTAAGTGGTTTCTGTAAAAATGTATTATGAGATATTGACGATAAATAAAAAAATATTTTCTATATATTTAAAGTTTTTATCCATCTGAAAAAATTTGCAAAATATCGAATGTTTTCAAAATGTTTTGTTATTTTACTTATAAATAAAATGTACAATCCATGCAGTAGTAATTTTAATCAATATTGCAGCTGTTACCCAATAGAATGCTAGAGTACAACTTGTATATCTACCGCCTGTATAGAGCAGTGGACGAGAAACAAGAAATTTAAATCACATAGGAAATGTTTTTGAACAGATGTTTTTTTTTTCTTGAATTCAATAACAAAATTTTATTTTATAATTGTATACCT